CCTTGCCGTGCCCCGGGCCCCCGCCGCCGTCGCCGGAGCCCCTAGCGCGCCTGGCCCTGGCCATGGAGCTGAGCCGGCGCGTGGCCCGGCTGGGGGGCACCCTGGCTGGACTCAGCGTAGAGCACGTGCACAGCTTCACGCCCTGGATCCAGGCCCACGGGGGCTGGGTGAGCCGCCCAAGCCTCTCTGGGCCTCCCTTTACCTAACTGTCGTTGTGGGGAGGGGCCTCTTAGGTTTCCTTTCGGACATCACAGGTGTTCTCCCAGCCCTCCCATTCACCTGTTCTGCGTTAATTGAGCACCTACTGTACACCAAGCACCGTGGTAATCCGTGGGTTATTGTGAGGATTAAATGGGATGACCCTTGTAAGTACTTGGCACTCCGTGGGCATTTGCTTGTGCGATTATCTGATTCTGTCGGAATGCCCTTGCCCAGGTATCCCCCTGCCTCACTTCCTCTGCTCTGCTCGGGTATTACCCCCCAGGGAGCCTTCCCTGGTCCCCACTTAAAACCGCAGCCACCTTCACTCCCTTCCACCTACTCCCTCTCCCTCCTGGCTGCTTTACTTTTTCCATAGCACTCTGCACCTTTTAACCGATGGTAGAAACAACTAGTTGGACTTCTTTTTGTCTTTTCCTCCTGTCCCTGACACCTTAGCCTCAGAGCCCGGTGAGTCTTACCTTGCTCGCTTACCGCGTTCAATCCAGTGCTAGGCTGGGAGCTGGACCGGGTTTCCGCGTACTGGCCTGTGACCTAGGCAACTGCCCCCACCTCCCTGAGCACTTGCCTGGCCCCGCCCGATGGGCAGCGCCTCACCTGCCTGGTTGCTGTGGCGATGCAGACGCCAGGCCCCAGAATGTAACCATAGCTTCCCACACTGGGAGGAGCTGGCCAGGTGTGTTTGAGGGGCAGAGAGGGGCTGGAGCCGGGTGAGCAAGGTGAGAGAGGGGAGAGGGCCAGAGGTGAGAGCAGCAGGCGCAGCCAGGTTGTCCAGGGCCTGGGGTCGAGGTGAGAACGTGGAGTTTGACTCTGAGTGAGCCCGGAGCCCCTGGAGGGCCCTGAGCAGGGGACCAGAGGGTACTTAGGCGCTAACATGCACCCTCTGGTGGCCGCGTGGGGAACACTGTAAGGGGAGAGAACAAGTAGGGAGCTTGGCCCGAGCGACTGTGCTGGTCCAGGGGGGAGATGAGGGAGGGTCAGACCAGCGTGGGAGTAGTGGAGGATTCCGGATTTAATTTGGAGATAGAGATTACAGGTTTTGCTAATGGAGTGGACTTGGGGACTGAGTGGCAGGCAGGAGTCGAGGATGCTAGCCTGGGCAACTGCTGGGCTACATTCAGTATTCCCCGAGATGGGGAAAAGCAGGGGCAGGGGGAGGGGAGGAGCAGGTTTGGGGAAGAGTCACAGGTGGCTGGAAGTGGTGCGGTTAAGTGACAGATGCCCTCCTGCCTCAAAGCAAGATGGTGAGGGCACAGGGGATATAAATGCCTGGAGCTCCTCCCAGAGGCTTGTTGATTTGTAAAATGATTTTATTTTGTAAGGAACGGTAACAGGTAAGCTTGGCCAGGTGCTCGCCAAGGATTTCAGTAGGATGATCCCATTTAAGCCTCACAACAACCTGTGGGATTCGGTTATTATCCTGGTCTTACAGAGGCTGAGGGGGAAGTCCCTCGTGCAGGGATTAGATTAGAATCAACACTGGGACACAAAGCCGGGGCTATTAATCTTTAAAACCCCGGCACTATGTCTGCCTCCCCTGTGCTCTGCCCACCACTCGGGCTCTGTCTTTCCCTCTTCTCTCTAGGACTCTGTCCCCACCCACCCCCGGGTCCCTGGGTCTCTGACCTCCCACCTCTGGGTTTCTCTCTCCCTCTCTGGTCTCTGCCCCCTCCCCTTGCCTCCCTGCCTTGGCTCTCACTGGGCTGGTGTGGATGCTGCTGTGACTGGGGGGAGCCTCTGCTTATGAGGCTCTGCTGCTTTTCCCTCCAGGAGGGCATTCTGGCTGGTTCACCCGTGGACTTGAACTTACCCCTGGACTGAGATTTTCCTCAGCAGCTGCTACCAGATTGGACCTCGGGTTCCTGGGCTCTCGGTGTGCTTCTCAAGCCTTCCTATTCTACTCAGGGCTGTGGTGTGGAGGCTGCCCACCCTTGTTTTGCCAAAAAGAAATTGTTTAAATTTTTTCCATAATAAAAACTTGTTCAAATATTTAATTCTTTGTTCTTTCATTTGAGAACTGAAGTTCTAAGTAGGGGAGATTTGGGTCAGAGATCCCTCTGGTTTATAAGTTGAAGCAAGAGCCAATTCATTCATTCTAAAAGTGTCTATTTGGAGCACTTACGAGCACCTGCCAGTTGACGTGCAGCATGTTCGAGGATGTCTGTAAATGTGATTCCAATTAGTTACATTTTCCGGGCTGCATGGTTTATGTTCCAGCTCCCCCTGTGCTGACGCTCTTGGAGTCTTTAGCTACTTCCAGAAGGACGCTGTGTTCCTCCTTCACAGGCACCCAGAACTCCAGCCACTTCTCACTTTGCTCCTCCCACTGCTCCTTCTGAGCCTTTTTTGCTGGTTCCCCCTTATCTCCCTGGAGACTCGGGTTTGTCTCCTTTGTAGGGCGCTAGCCTCTTTCACAGACTCATGTTCATAAACGCGCAAAACGAGACGCACAGGGTCATAAGGGAGGCCAGTTAGTGTTGGTCCCCGTTCTTTGCATGTTCATAATTGCGAGTTCGCCTAGACACTGACATTTGTGTGTAATCCCCAAATTAGCACTCATGGAACTTCCATGGTTGTGGGCACTCGGGTGGATTCAGCACCTGGCCTGGGCCTGTGCCCGAGGCAGCAGTCAATGTTTCTCTCTCCCCCTCTCAAAATCCATGGAAATGTATCCTTGGGTGAGGATTTGAAAGAACCAACAAACTGATTTAGGACCCATACAGCATACAGTGTAAGGGTCAAGATATGGGCTCTGATTATTTAACTATTTGAACTTAATCAAAATTTAAAATCTCTGCTCTTTAGAAGACAGTGTTAGCCTGGCCGGGCGTGGCTCAGCGGTTGAGCATCGACCTAGGATCCAGGAGATCTCTGTTCAATTCCCGGTCAGGGCACAGGCCCGGGTTGCAGCTCGATCCCCAGTCTGGGGCGTGCAGGAGGCAGCCGATCAATGACTCTCATCATTGATGTTTCGGTTTCTCTCCCTTTCCCTCTCCCTTCCTCTCTCTGAAGTCAATAAAGATATTTAAAAAAAAATTTTTAAGAAAATGAAAAGACAGCCCTGGCCGGTGTGGCTTAGTTGGTTGGAGTGTCATCGTCTGGTGCACAGAAGGGTTGCGGGTTTGGGTTTGATCCCAGCCAGGGCACATACCCAGGTTGCAGGTACAATCCCTGGTCAGGGCACATATGGGAGGTGGCCAATCCATGTTTCTCTCTCTCCTTTTCCGTCTAAAAAAAAAAAATTAAAATTAATAAACATTCCCTCAGGTGAGGATACAAACAAACAAAAGACATCACGGATGGGGAGAAAACATTCAAGGTACCTGACAGAGATCTGTACCAGAATCTGTAAAGAATCTTTATAATTCATGAATAAGGAAACAACATTGTTTGTAAAAAATAGTCAAAAGACTTGAGCAGGCACTTGATAGAAGATCTACAAATGGTCAATATGCATATGAAAAGACGCTCAACAGCAGTGGTCAGAGAAACACAAATGACAACCACAGTGAAATATCTATACCCACCAGACCGCTGAAAATGAAAGACTGATCTTATCAAGTGTTGGCTTGGATATAGAGCAACTGGAACTCTTCACGAATCACCCATCAGAATGCAAAAATGATAGAACACACTGGAAAACTTTTTGGCAGTTTCTTATAAAGTGAAACATACACCTAGCATACAACTCAGTCATCTGCTCCTAGGTTTACCCAAGAGAAATGACAAAGTGTCCCTTTACAGAAAGACTAGTACATGAATGTTCATAGCCACTTTATTCATAATAGCCCCAATCTGGACATTACTTGGATATCTGTCAACAGGAAAATGGATAAACAATGATACTGTTACTGAGCTCAAGGGTTTAGCAGCTTGGGGTGCTCTACTCAAAAAAGAAACAGTTGTTGCAAGGTAGTTTTATTTACTTACAGCAAATAAAGGAGATGGGATTCATATCCAAAGCTCTGCCTCCCCAAGGGAGGCTTAGCCATATGGCTCATATATACTATTTGGTCCATTACATGTTAATTTCTTCTTTGCAGTTGGCTACGTTTATCAGTTGAGTTGTTCAGCTAATCCTGTTTACAGCTGCAACTAAGAAATGCTATGCTACATTTTAACATTTAGCAGGAGTAACAGTAATAACATTTAGAAGTTCCCAGACCTTGAGACCCTTGTCCTAACAATACATCCATACAACGGAATATTCGTCAGCAATAAAAAGGATTGCACAACCTTTATGTGCAGTAACTTGGATGAATCTCAAAAGCATTATGCTGAGTGAGAGAAGACAGACACAAGAGAGCACACACTGTATAATTACATTCTTTTTTTTAAAAAAAAGTCTTCATTTATTTTAGAGAGAGAGAGGAAGGGGAAAGGATAGAGAGAAAACATCAATGATGAGAGAGTCATTGATTGATTGCCTGCTGCATGCCCCCTATTGGGGATCAAGCCTGAAACCCGAGCATGTGCCCTGACTAGGAGTCGAACTGGTGAACTCCTGGTTTAGGGGTCCACGCTCAACCATTAAGCCACACTGCTGGGCAATGTAATTCCACTCATAGGAAACTTTAGAAAGGAAAGGCGACACTATAGTGACAGAAAATAGAAAGTGATTGCTTCAGGGACTGGGTGGGGAAGGTATTGACTGGAAAGGGTTATGAAGGAACTTTCGGGGGTGATGAATATATTCTACAAGTTGCATTCATTTTATTCAACTAGTAACTTTTTCTGCAGATCGAGGAAAGCTTCCTGGAGGAGATGATGTCTAAGCTGTGCTCTGATTTATGTATTGGAAGGAGTTGGCTGACAAAGGGAGGTGGGTGTTCCTGGCAGGGGGAGGGAGTTGGCAAAGGCCAAGTGGTTTGAGTGGGGTTGCTGTGATTAAAAAACAGTCAAGTAGAGGGCTAGAGTTTAAATGCATCGCCGCCTGAGTCCTATTCCCGATTTGGTTCGGGACCCGGGACAAGCCCTCCCTCTCTTTGGGCCTCTGATAGCTTCAGTTCTTTCCCTCACGTAAATGGGCAAAATCTCCCCTTGTTCCCCCAGGACTCCCTTGGGACTGGAAGAAGCCACCAAATGGACGCTTAGTGACAGTTCTTTTGAGTCAATCGCTGGAAGCTAAAGCCCTCCCTCCTCGTGGGCCAATCGCCTTGTTCTTGAGACCGGCAGGCTGGCGAGGGCTCGTCAAAGGCCTGGTGAAGTCACATTTTGGATAAACCAGTAGCAGCTGAAGAGGCGGGTCATTTAGGTGATGGACAGATCTATTTCAAAATGTCCGCTAGCGCGGGGCCCGCCGGGAAGCTTTGAGGCGGTGCTGGGGGAAAGGGGCAGGAACTGCCGGTTGACTTTGTCCAATCATCAATCTCGCTTTTTGTGATAGACAGTCAGTCTTTCCCATCCCTGTCGACTTAAGGGGCGGGGCTCTGCACGCCACACTGGGCGGGTCCCTGAACTTTGATGGGCCTTCTCCTTTGCCCAATTAGTAAACGGTACTCCCAAACGGACCGCCTCCATTGCCAATGAGATCTCCTGGCGGGGTCGCGGTGGGCGGGCCTAGACCCTCCGGTATAAGGCGGTCTCGGGAGAGTGCGGAGAAGGGGGGGGGTCTCGGCCGCTGGAGGAGTAGGTGCGGGTGAACATGGCGGCAGCCGAGGCCGCGAACTGCATCATGGAGGTGAGCGTCTGGAACGCCGCCGGGGGCGGGGGGTCGGTTTGGGGGTCCGTGTTTTATGGCTCCGTCATAGAGAAGGGGTTGTGAGTCGGCGGATTTGAGTTAAGGCTCCCAGCCGTACGGAGGGGAGGCCGCATGCTCCGGATCTGGGGCCACTGTTTCAATGCGGGTTCCCTAGCTTTCGGGGGCCAGCCAAGCCGATGGTCTCGTGCCCCCTCCCACGTGGAGGAGGGCTGGGGGCGCTTCCGGCCTGGCCCCCACGTGGCCGGGGCGTGGTGGATGGGGAGGGGGTGTGCCGTGCTCGGTGGCCCGGCGGGCTCCACGTGCGGGACAAAGGCCCCGCCCCCGGCCGGGGGAGGGGCGCCCCGGGGGGACGGGAAGGAGGCGCTCACCCTACTTCGGAGGCCCCCAGCTTTCCTCCCCAGGGATTGCAACGTACACCTCCTGGTGGGACTTACTTGGGGGCCTCCAAGAAGTAAAGAGTCTCTTGGGAGGGGCAGTGTATCCCAACCCTCTACAACCCCCTTCCCAGGACTGGGGCATTTACTTAGGCATCGGTCCAGGTTTCGTGCACTTTTGGGTTAGGATTGGAGGAAGACAAAGAATTTATTTTCTCTGGCCGCCCCCACCCCCCTTTTCCTGTCCCTGGATTCTCCACCGCCCGGGGCTTTGGGAGCTGGGGGGATGGGGTATGCCCCTGTGACCTCTCTCTGGGTGGTGGTGGGGCCTCCAGCTGAAGGAGATCCTTCCGGATAATGCACCAGGCACCCCCTTGTGGCCATTTCTGGGTGTGTGGGAGGGACATTTTTCATGGGGCGTGTCCCAAAGCCCACCTCCCCTTTGGAAACCTCCCGGGCGACGGAAGGAAGAATCCGTCTGCTGGGTAGGAGACGTGATGGAACCTGCGAGCTCTGCCCCCATTTCTTTCGGCATTCGTGAAGGTGGGAGATGTACTCCCCCTTCCAGAGCCCTGTTTGAGGGTCCTGAACCTGGATCCTTGAAATGGTTTCCTAAAATGCTGGTTCTTGTGCAGCCATGTGGGGTTGGTTCTGGCGCTGTGTTTCAAGCTGTTTGGGGCTTGTATGGCGGTGGTATCAGTGGTATTGAGAAATGGGCCCCAGTGGGAAATCCCCTCGCCAGCCGCCCTTCTTTGTAGGCATCCTCACTGGCTTGGGAGAATGGGGGTGGGGCTTGGAGCCCTGTGTGTCATGTCCCTGTGTCCCTGACTTGAAGCTTCTTGGAGCCCGGAGAGTGGTAACAGCTGGGAGAGATGTAATCTGATGGGGCCTCCGAAATTTTCACCCCTTACCTTGTGGC